TAAAGAATGTCAAAACTCTTGCTAATAGTTTAGTGCTAGTAGGTTTGGAGGTAATAATTTCTACTGCTTTTTGTTTGTCAAATTTGTCAATATGATGGTTTTGTGCTGCAGTGGTTTGATATAAATTAAGATATAAATAAAAGTAGTAGCTGCGACATTTGGAGTTAGTTAAAACATTGTTGATTTTGCAGTCAGATTTTTTCATTTCTGTTGCAAGCTCATCAAGATGAGATGTAGGAATTTGTTTGTTAAAGGTTGCTTTGTGTTTGCTGTTTTTGTAGAATATAGATAGGTTAATTTCAGGTCGTTTCCAAACTTCATTTTCTTGTTTTGAAAAGTCTACATATGATTTTTTAAAAATGTTATTTAGTAATTGTGAGAAGATATGTTGAAATTGAAGATTAGGAGTTGTAGTGGATGGGTTTGTAATTTTTGGTTCTTTTCCTTTGTTTTTGGGTTCTGTTTTTTCTAAGTAAAAACAAGTTTTATTTGTGCAAATAAGAATATGAAAGTTAGCTAATTTTATTGTTTCATTTTGACATTCTTGTAAATTGTGAGGTTGTTGAAATTGTATTTTAGTAGATAAGGTTTCTTTAAGATGAAAAATAAATTTCTGTCAGATTTGGTATTTTAAGAAATTAAATACTTTGGTTTTATCTAATGTTTGAGTAAATTGTTAGTTGTATGTTGGGAAAAATTGTTTAAACCATTGATCTAAAGAATTTGCAAGAAATGGAATGTTTAGTTTTTAGTAAAATAGTGTTTTTAGAATATTAAAATCAAGGTAGATATTAAATTTGCTATTAGATTTAATTATAATATATTGCTTTTCTTTGTCATAGTCAGATACTTTTGATATAATATTAAATCTTTTAGGTCGAAGTTGGAAGTCTTCAGCAAATTTGATGTAATCAATTGCTTGATAGTTGTTTATAAGATATAAGTAGATGTAAGCCAAATTAATACAAAGTTGAATAAGGTTTTGGTTGGTATATAGGAGAATAGTTGCTAAAGAGAGAAAGATTTTGGAGTAGTTGAGTTTTGTAAAGAGAATTGTAGTGAATGCTAGAATAGGTTTTTTGAGAGTTTCTTCAAAAAAAATAGTAATTGCTTTGTCTATATTAGGATTAGTTTTTTGAATAAATTCAATAAGAAACTTAGATTTGTCTCTAATCATTTTGTGAATAATATAATAAAAGCTAGCTTTAAGGGCCTTTTGTTTAAAGATTTCTGATTTGATTTCTTTATCAGAATAAAAGTTATATAGATAAGATTTAAGAAAATTAAAAATTTTTCTTGAAAATTTAGTTTGGAGTTGTGTTTTGTTCTTCATATCTTTGGAAATTAGAAAATTGGCAAGCTAGTCAAATGTTCAATTGGCTTTAACTTTTTGTTGATTGTTAGTAGTATTAGTTTGTGTTGGCTATTGTTGTTGTTTACTTGTTTGTTGCTGTTATTGCTATTGTTCATTAGAGTAAAGTGGATTTTGATATAGTGGTTGTTGATGTTGTTATTGATTTTGTTGGTTGTTATTGTTATTAGTAATGTTATTGTCAAGATCCATATTATTTATGATATTGCTATTATTGTTAGGTGAGGTTGTAAAGGTAAGTTTAAATGCAAGTAGATTGTAAGAACTAATTGTTTGTTGAAGTTTTGAATGAAATTGGGAGAAGAGCTTGACTGTTAAGCAAATTGTTGTGTACTAGTACAGGCTTTGTGTTAAGGTTTATTATTATATAAAGTAGCATTAGTTGCCAAGTAATGTTGGTTATTCATTTCTTTATAGGCAATGGGTAGGTTGCATTTAGCACAAAGATGATTATATATAGTAGATGAAGGTGATGTTATAGGTGATGGCAAGACAAATTCAGTAGAATTTGTAATTGTGTTTGCTAAGGTTTTTTGATCTTTAAGTTTTTTGATAACATTTATAGTTTTGTGTTATTTGTAGGTTTGGTTAGTTGTTGAGATAAAGTGTATGTGGTATTTGCCACAAAAGCATGTGACAATGAAGCTGGATTTAGGTGCTTTGAAGTAATGACTACATTTGGTGCTTCCTTTAAGTTCAGTAATATTGCAATTTTTAGGCTGTTTATTGACAGAAATAAGACGAGATGAAGTTGGTGCATCCTCATAAATACCAATTTCAAAGCTTTTAGGACACTTTTGGTAAAAATAGTCAAGGTCAATAGTATTAGATGCAGTTGTTATAGAGGTTGACATCTTAATCTAAAAATAGATTATTAAGTGTGTTTTTTGAAAAAATTTGGTTTGCTTAAGAGTTTTTAAACTAATTAGAAAAGTTTGAAAAAGAGTTTAGGTTACAGATAAGCTGATTGGATTTTTAGAAAATTCTAATGAGTCTCAGAAAAGTAAAATTTTCAGGGCAATACAGCAAGTTTTCCTAAATTTACCAATAAAAAACCCTGCAAAGAGCAAGTTTTTGTTTTCACTTTTTACTTGTATCTCAATGAGTTTTAGTTTAGTTTTAACAAATTATATATCAAAATGTTGGTTTCAGTAAGCTGAACAACTTTTGAACAGGTAAGAAGATAGATTTAATTAGTAAAATTATGTATAAATAGACAAAAACCAAAAATTATGTTTTTGAAACTTTTCTCAGCAGCCAAGTTTTATTGGAAAATAAAACACAGCTGTCTAGAAAAAGAAATATGTGCTGAACAACTTTACTTAAGAGGTTAAGTAAGGTTTACTTAATAGAATGTTGAGAAATAATCAAATGTTTTTTATAGATTTGGTATAAGTGATCTATGAAGAAAGTTGCTTTTATATTATTATTATTTATATTATTAATTTATATATATATATATATATTTTTTTATTTTTTATTTTTTTTAAAAAATTTTTTTTTATTATTCATAATATCATTTTAGTAAACCCAGATTAAGCAAGGTAGCTATAACCTTTCTGTCTAAGGTTCTTAGCTTGTATGCATCGTTTAGAAGTTTATTATAAATAAAGTACAGGCCTTTACATTTTGAGATAAGCTTGTCACTATGAAAATATTTTTTTGCAGCATCCTCCAATAAGACTTTATCTCTTATTTCAAATTTAGGATTAATTCAATAGCATGAATCATAGTAGGCCTTTTGGTTTACTTGACTTTGTTGCATCCTTTCAACAGCTCTATTCCTAATAATGGGAACCTGGTTTATTAATTCGAAGGTTCTGTGTAGTATGGTTTCTTTCAACAATTCTTTAGCACAACTAGGATAGATGGGCTGTCTTGCATTACAGCCATAGATAAGAAAAAATGAAAACATTCTGATGATTAAGTTTTGGGTAGTACAATATGTAAAAAGTACAGAAGGTATAAGCAAGTACTAGTCAAGAACTTGATGACTAACTATCCTAGAGCTTCACACAGTGTTTTATTAAAGTGCTTGACAAGGCTGTTGGTGCTAGGATAATAAGAAGTAAAAAAATACTGCTTCATATTGATTGTTTCTAATAAGAATCTTATTACTTTATTTTGGAAATAGATACCACAGTTAACAAAATTCAGTTAGAGCATTTATAATGACAAGTTATATTATTATATAGAAAATTGGCTACAGTTTGTGTGTTGGCCTTTTTTATTAGACCAATGAGTTATGAAATCCATTACAATAATAATATAGTAATTTAACCATAGCATTCAGAGCAAAGAGGCTATAAAATCGATGCCAGTTTTGTAAAATGGGACTGAAACAGGAATTGGATATAGGGGTCTATGATTATATAGTTTTGTTCATCTTTGGTATGGATCACAAGTTTGAATATACTTCCATATCTCAGAATATATTTGGAACCAAAAATAGATATTCTGTACTTTGACAAATATGATATCCCTACTAAGATGCCTTTCTAGAAGGTAGGTATGCACCAAGTACAATATTGGGTTAATTTTGTGCTTTTGTAGTACCCTTAACAGATTCTCTTTTTTTCTTAGATCTTTTTTGTACAGAAGACCTTCATCTATTTCAAAAAATTTACTTTGCTTCTAAATTTGGCATCATTAAGTTTGATCAAGGCTGAAAGATAAATATCAATCTTCAAGATATTTTTTCAAATAATTGTAATGAGCAGTATCTATAGTTGCTGTGGCTCTACAAATTAATTCTGAAATTCTCTTTTTTTTTTTTTTGTTTGTATATTGTAATTGTTATTAATTATTAAAATTTAGTTTAAGGGATGGGGTTCTGTAGCCTAGTGGTCTAGGCGCCTCTCCCTCCACAGACAAGGTTGACGGTTCAATCTCAGCTAAAGGCAACTCTGTAATCTATAGAAGCATATAAATGTACATGAAGCCCTGTGGCTAAGTCCATGTGATTAGAAGATCAGTGTATAAGGAAGTTCACAGAAAAAAGATTTCCAATATAGAGAGTTGGCACTCGATGTGAGAGAAGCAGTGAATATATCAGAAATGGAGAGAAGGTGCACTAGTGGGTGATACAGTGAACATAAAAGGAAACTATGGAAAAGGAATGGACTTACCGAAATTCAAACACTTCTGGCACTAAATCAGTTCTAGTAGATACAGGATCTACTAAAATTGGATAAATCTAAGGGGTAATCTTGGTACTATACTTAGTAAGTCTGCGTCGAGAGTAAATTTGAAGGACTATGGATACCTGGTAACATCTAATGAGGTGGTACCTTAATATAAATAGTAATTAGATAGCCCTAATCTGGCATGTTCATGTGGTAATAGAAGCATTGCATATATGCAATAGAATTGAAATCAGAAAGTTTAAATAGGGGATTCACAGGCAAATCTCAGATATGACAGTTAGTAGATAACCCTTGGGCAGAACTCTTAATTAGATAATAACTAAAGTTATACATGTAACTAGTTGTACTTTCGTTGATAGACTTTGTATATACTTGAATAATGATATATTACCTAATAAAGACAAACAGGCAAGATTGCCGCTTTAAAAAAAAAAAAAAAATTAAAATTTAGTTTAAAATTTTTCTTAGTTTGAATTTGCAAGTCATATATACCAGAATATCAGTAACCTGGTTAGGATTTTTATCGAAACTAAATTTGAAGTTAGTTAATTCATCTTTTCTTTTTTTTTTTTTTGTATATATATATATATATATTTTTTATTGAGGTTTTTTATTTAAGGTTATAGGAATTCTTAACAGAGTGTTAGCATTATGATGAACATGACTACAATGATGAATGGTTCTAAAATTATATGAGTGATTTGCAATACCCAACAAGTATGATGACCAGTTAATTCTTCAGTTTAAAGCTATTTTAAAGCTGCATGATCAGTGATAATAATAAATGATTCAAGACTGTATTGAAAATGTTCAATTTATCATAATATGACAAGACACTTGAGTTTAGTAGTTGCATAATTTTTTTCAGCTTTTGTAAGACTCTTACTTGCATATGCAACAATATACTTTTTCTCAAAATCATCTTTCTGAACTAACACTGCATCTAAACCAGATCTAAATGCATCTGCATGAATAATATAAATTTTGTTAAAATTTAGGTAACAAAGAATTGAAGCACTTATAAGGTATTGTTTCAGTCTATTAAATGCTTCTTTTTGTTTGTCTTTCTATTCATATTTAATACCCTTTTTTAATAGATGATAGAGGGAGTGAGTGATCAAAACAACCTTGAAATAAACTTCTGATAATAGGAAGCTAATCCTATAAATCTACAAAGTTGATGCAAGTTCATAGGACAGGAAAATACTTTATTTTTTTTAACTTACTCTCATCAGAATGAATTTTATCATGGCCAACTACATGGCCCAAAAACTGCAAATGGGGTTTAAAAAATGAACATTTATCTGTGTTCAATTTGAGCCCAATGTTTCTTAGTTTATTAAAACTGATGATTAGTTGTTTTACATGACTATTAAAAGAAAAGGAATAAATTATAATATCATCAAAGAAGACAACAACAAACTGGTCAATGCATTTAGCTAACACTTCATTCATCATATGTTGAAAGGTAACAGAAACATTGCACAGCCCAAAGGGCATCATTACAAACTTATAGATGCCAGAACTGATAACAAAGGTGGTTTTTTCTATATCACTTTCTTTTATTCGAACCTGTCATTATCCTGACATTAGGTCTAATGTTGAGAACCAGGTTGCAGAACCAAAAACTTTAAGCAATTCATTGATTCTAGAAAGAGAAAAGGTGTTTTTTTTTGTAACAGTGTTTAGCTTTTAATAGTTGACGCATATTCTCAACTTACCACTCTTTTTGGAAATAATGACAAGCAGAAACACCTAGAGGCTTTTGGATTCTTTAATGAGATCCTTTTCTTTTAGCTGTTCAATCTTCTTTCTTATAAATTTATAAATGCTAAGAGTAGCACAATAGGAGGTTTGTTTAATTGGTGCTATACTTCTAGTATCGATTTTATGTACCAACATGTTAGTTTGATCCAAGTTATTAGCATTATGCACAAAAATAGCTTTTTTTTCATTTAAAAAGGCTTCAACCTTCATACTTTGTTCCAAAGTTAGATGAAGTTCATATACATTTTGTTTTAACTTAATTTCTAGAGACATCTTCAGAGTTGGGTTCATTTAATGGCATTTTTTCCATATGTGATAAGTATATAGCAAGACTATAATATTTTTCCAAGAATTGTTAAGGAATTCATTATTTAATATTTTACTAATATAGAATCTTTTGGCTTCATTCAAGTCTTCATTTTCATATTCAAATTCATTGAACATTCTATTATCTTTATCTTCATTAACTTCAACAAAGAAATAGTCTCTATCATATAACATCAGAATCTTAGCAACCTGGTCCTGGTGTTGTATATACAATTTATTTTCATCCACATACAAACAAGTGCAAGTCTTTCTAAACTAATCCATTCTGAGAAGGAGCATTTTATTAGTGTATTCAATGACTTGAAAATTAGTAGAGACCATAATACCATTCAAGACTAACTTTACATCGACAATTTTTTCAAACATTCTTATTCAAGTTCTATTTGCTATTATAACTGTAATGATAAAAGGTTTTGTAATTTTTAATTGCAATTTATTCATTATCTTATTGGATATAATACTCAATGCAGCACTGAAATCTAGCATGACAACTACTGGATTATTCTTTATCTTTATATAACAATGAGCAACTGTGGTCCTTCCATTTTGTACAGAGTTTGTCTGTATAAGTTCAGGTTCTGGCAGAGGCAATGGTCTTCATAAAGCTCTTGCAAGCTTCTGCCTATAATCTAGATATTATGACATTTGTTCTAATGTTACATTAGCCTTTACATTTATAATATCTTCAGCTACATCATATGGTATCAATTGATTGATTATGAAAAGGCCTCACCTTTATCAAGTTCTTGTAGAAGGAACTACTGAGACTTCTGTTCTTGGCTGTGGAGGGTTCACATTGACTGAGAGTATTACTGGGGTTATTACTAAAGTTGCTACTAGGATTGTTATTAGTGATGCTACTGAAGCTTCTGGTCTGAGAAGTATGAACCTATATCTTTCCTTCATTTTATCTTCCAATCTTTTAGATCATCATTCTACTGGTCTTTGCTTAGGTATAGTTGGTAGCAGGCCACTGAAGTTACAAACACTTTTCTTCTCCTTTAGGTTCATACCCTTCATCTTCAATTCTGCAAAAATTAATATTGCTGGTTTTAAATAGAATATGAGTGGACTGGTTGTTCTGGCTGGGACAGATTCAATTTTGATTTTGGTTTTGGTTCTGGTTTCTCTCAGACATACAATAGCAAGAGATGTGACTGAGTTCACCATAATTATAACAAACTAATTGTGCAAGATCATAATTATTATTATTATTATTACTATTTTTTAGGGGACAGAGTTTTGATAGAATGGTTTTAGTATACAACATGAGGGTTTTTCTAACATGGCTTGCATCTGATAGGTCAAGTTATTAAGATCATTTTCTAATTTTCTATTATTTTGGGACTTTTCTTTATTTTTTTCATTATAATATTCTCTGGCTTCAATCTTCTGTGCACCAAGTATAGCTTTTTCCAATGTAACAGGTTCAGCAATACTCAACCAAGCAGCTATTTTAAATTTAAGACCTCCTAAAAACATTCACACTACATATGATTAGAACAAGCAATGTTCTAGATTAACTTTTCACAACAATTTCTTAAACTTAAAGGCATATTTATCAATTTACTCATTTTCTTATTATGTTAGAAAATTAAAGTCAACTTGCCATTTATGATTGCATTTGAGGGTGGCAAAATATTGGGTGAAATAGAGAATAAAACTTGTTTCTGGTTCAGTTTCATTATTCCAAAACTCTAGCATGTTTTTAATGTTGTTATACCAATTGAAAGCCACTTCTTACAGGTATTCAGAAACTATTTTGATCTTTCTTTTGAGTGACCAATTATTCACATCTGCCATTCAATCGAACAGTTCAACCTATTCAAGAGGGTTTTCCTTCTTAGTACTGTAAAACAGCTCAATATATACTAAGTTAGTTTCTTTTTCAGAGGCTCTGGAGCAGCAGCAACTCCTAAGGTGACTTCTCTAAATGCATTGGCTATCTTCCTTAAAATGGTGTTCAGGAGGTCTGGGTTCTGATATAGATTCAAATTTTCATTATTTCTAATGTTATTCCTTTCAATATGCAGAAGGTAATGATTAATAAGAGTTCTGCTATGACTACTATACTTAGATTGTTATACTTCTTCAACATACACAGGACATTGGTCTTTATTATAAGTAAATAATGGTTCTTCAATGTCTTGGTTTGAAGAAGAAACATTATTTTCAGTGTCTTGTTGGTTCATAGTGCCTTTTTATTATTTTTGTTGAGATGAATTTTCTTAAGTTGCTATAAGGATATGTGTAAAAGTTACTTAAATAAGGGCAAAATAATAATTATTATTTTTTTTAAAAGTTTTTTATTTTTTTATTTTTTGGACTTAGAAAGATTAATCAATAGTCTATTTTTTAAATAAAGCAGACTTTTACTTGAGAGGTTTACTCAATCAGACAAGTATCTTATTTACTTTTGCTGATATTTTTCCTCTTAGTATTATACTAAGTTCTGTTTTGATTCTTAGATTCAACAATTCTGACTAAAACAATACAGAACAAATCAATTTTGTATTAGGTAGAAGAGGGTAGTTAATGTTGTTATAGTTTTATTTTGTCTTTCAAATCTAAGAACAACCAAGATCATCATATCTCACAGTTACCACCAAATTGTTACTGACGATCAGTAGAATTACACACACAAAAGCAATTAAGAAATATGACTTACGTGAAAAATAGTTATGCTATGTAATGTTTCTCAACATTTTAAGGCAGAATGATTTGACACTGGTCTAAGGTGACAATTAAAAAACATTATTAAAAGAGTTAGAATAAGATAAGTAAAAGGATCCTGAAAGAACATTCTACTTTGTAAATTTTATTTTTTTTGAGTAAGAATTTTAGGGATCTTTATTTATTAACTTTATTATTTTTTGTAAAGTGGGGAAGGCATACACTTTGTTCAAGTGAAAATGATTTCTTTTTATAAAGATTTTACAGAGAAGCAAGAAGAACATTTTTGAAAAATTCATTATTATTCTAACACATTTTATTTCATTACCTCAAGTCTGTTTCCCTCTTTTAGCTAATTCTTTTACCTTCACAGCCTCTAGTTCCCTAACAACATTTAACATCCAAAAATGCTTCTACATCATTCCCCTCTATTTTTCATGTAGAACCCAAACCAATTCATTCCTTTTTGATTTAACTCTTTATCCCTTACTTTTCACAGCCTCTTACTTCTTGCTCA